ACCACAAAATTGGTTATTTTGCCATTCAATTGTTTTTGAGGAAAAAAATTCAATATAATCTAATACAATTGATTATAATCCATTTTCTTTTTAGTTCTAAAGTTGGTGGTTTTTGCAAATAATTTGCAGAAAATTTGCAAAAACTCTATTCTATGAAAGAACCAATATTAAACAATTCTCTTCAATTAGAGCTGAAAAGATTTTTTTGTATTTGTTTTTTTGTTGAGTCATAGAATAGACACAATTTCCGAAAAAGTTTGCTCCCCCTTCCCCCAGCGAAAAAAAAATCCTTCAAAAGAGCCTGTTTAGGATGATCCAGGTGGAAGGAGTGGACCCCTATGAAGTTGTGAGGTGGGCATGTGTGCTGCTACACTCCCACTTCGCCTTGTTCCTGTCCATATCCTCTTGTGCCAGCCACGCCCTCCTGTCTGGACTGGCCAGGGACAAAAGAGTGCCCCATCTGGCCATCAACCACCACTGTCCCCCTCAACAACAACACTATCACCACTCCTTGGTATGGCACAACAAAACACCACGCAAAATACTTTACGATACCAAAGTTTTTTATAAAGACTATTAATCTACGAGCTAAAGATACGAGAACTACCGTTATTCCAAGTCGAGTTGCGCCACTAAACTCCGCACTGTATTAATCGCGCTCATGATAATTCGACTCTTTTTCCTAACCCAATGCCCCCTCCCTCCCCACCTCACAAGAGCATCAATTTTTTGGTGTAATGAGTGGTTTTATACGGTTGATTAAGAACACCAAATATGTTTGTCAGTTTTAGTCAACATGTCGATTTGATGACTTAATACCACAAGAAGTAACATTTAAATTTGAACAAAGAACAAAAAAGATCACAATATAAAAAATTAAACTTCATGAGAAGCAAAGTTTTGTTATAATGAAACACGTATTGCTTAGTCGTATAGCAAACATGTCTCTTGCACAAGAAGCACATGCTTTTTAGGTTATTTTTTTCCTCTGATATTTTAATTATACATACACGATAGATGGTGTCTGTCTATCGCTCACATACGTATATGTTCATAAACGGTTTAAAAATAGAAATTGAGTGCAGTTTAACTCCTCAAATTGCTAGCTTAGAAGCAGTTGGCGGAGATCTGGAAACCAACTTCACTTCTGCAGAAGTAGAAAACCTGACACGAAAGTTGACCTTTTGTGGAATTTAACTCCAAATTAAATATGCGTATTCAATTCAAATTCATTTTGGTCTGATTATTGAGCAGGTTTTTTGTCACCAAAAATACGTTTCACCAGATGGCCCAAAAATACTGATCAAGGGCGTGTGGTGTGCAGGATAA